CTGCAAGTCTGCTTTGAACTGCTCAATGGGCGATGCCGAAACCTCCAGATTGTGTAGATTGAAGTCCCCGGAGATGAGAGTGTGGCTGTACCTAGTGCGTGTTATTCTGTTTAGGCCACGGATCAAGCAGGAATCCATTTCCAGAGTGGACGTTGGGGGGCGGTAAACGATAGCTATGAGACATGTATCGTTGTGTCTCAGTCGGAGACGGCACCAGAGTGAGTCGGTAACGTGTGTTTCCGGATCATCAACGGTTGTACATTGTAGATCGCTGCGGTAGTAGAGTAGGACCCCACCTCCTCTGCTGGGGCGGTCGTTCCGGATGATTGACATTCCGGCTATCTCAACCTCAGCATCAGTCACCTCTTGATGCAACCAAGTTTCGGTAATAGAAATTAGGTCCCAAGCATTCGCAACCTGACGCCCGTGTCGAACTGAAAGAATTGAGTGGAAAGAAATTCTGCAATTCAACTCCACGTTCCCCTCTAACGATACGCTGTGTGAAAATCAAATCCCCGCGATCTCGACAGTTGGCTAGGGAGGACAAGTTTAGGCACTGCAGACGATGCGATTTAGGCAGGTTTCGTAACTCCAGAGCAGATTTAGATCCTCTCCGCTGAACTTTTTCAATCAAGTTGCATTCAAATTTGGAAACAGGATAACCAGCGGGCAGTCCATACTCAAGAATCTGACGTACATGTGATGTGAACAGGAGCCTGAAGATCTCCGGAGTCAAACGAGAGAAGGAGCGTCGTATGGAGAAAACAACCTGTTGACAGAAACGACTTTCTTCAAGGTATCTTCAGTCGATTTTAGGTATGGGGTCACAACGACGCTAAGGTCCCTCTCACGATTTGAGTTCGGCAGCAAAAACCTACAGATATGATAAATTCCAAATGGTTCGGAGGCACCGATCGGAAGAACGGAACATTTATCGTGATTTATGGGTAATTGACACCTGATTGACCAATCATGCAGCGAATCGAGCCTTGTTTGTAGTAAATCCGCATCATCTAGACAGGAGACTTCCATCCATATCTTTATATCGTCTGTGTAAATCAAACAATCTGCCCGTAGTACAGATGCCAGGTCATAAATAAAGACTTTAAAAAGTTCAGGGCAAAGAACAGAGCCTTACGGAACACAGCTGGTCATATTTACAGGGAAGGAAAGGGACTCATTTATTTGCACACGGTAAGCGCAGTCATGCAGGAAATCAGTGAGCCAAAGAGGGTTTTTCCTGCAACACCAATACTGCGAAGTTTTCTAAGCAAAATATCGTGTGGAACCTTGTCAAAAGCTTTACTAAAATCCACAAATACGACATCTAACCGTTTACCAGCATCCATGGATTTAGCCCACTTTTCTCGAGCTACCAGGAGATTGGTGACACGTGAACGCGAAGGACAAAACCCATGCTGCGCAGCTGAAATGATCTTGAGGTTCTGGAAGTGCAGGTTGTGAGCTCCCTTAAGAATCCTCTCCATAACCTTGCAGACGACAGATGTTAGGCAAATGGGCCGATAATACGTAGGATCTTGTCGACTTCCTCCTTTGTACATGGGCTTGACTATGCCCACCTTCCAGGCAAGCGGAAGACGCCCGGCCTCAAGTAAGCACCGAAATACGTGGCAGATATGAATAGTGATATATTCGGCCACAATGTTGAGGAAAAGAGGATGCAATCCATCAGGTCCCTGGGAAGAGTTGGGATCCAACTCGCACAACAGTTTGTAAACCATAGTAACATTTATGTCCATATCACTGAGAACGGAGAGCAAGGACGAATAACAATCAACCGACGGCACCTCTGTTGTATAGACCGATGAATAATGGCATGCTAAAAGATTAGCTTTATTAGCATCGTCGTGGTGCACGGTGTTAAGATCGTGCGAATGCAAGGACGGTATTCCACTTCCGGCTCTGGTGCTCCTTTTCAAGTAGGAGAAAAGCAGCTTCGGTATAGACTTGGAATGTTCAGCCAGATGTCCTTCGTATTGCTGCCGTTTCGTACGCTTTTTTGATGTACATATGTTCCGGACCGATTTATAATTGCTATAATCGGTTTCCAATCTCGAAAGCATGTAGCGATTCCAAAGTTTGTGTATTTGGTTCATGTGCGATCGTAATTCTCGGTCAATCCACGGGGACCTCTAGTAAATGGTTTTCGTTTGGATATGGGAACAGTATCATCAAAAAGAGACAACATTTTCGAGTAAACATGACTCCAAGCATCATCGACGTCCAAGTGCTGAGGGAGACTCCAACCTTGCTCGCTAGCGGCCTTCTTCAAGCGGTTTGGATCAGCACGCCAGAAATTCCGCCGATAGACACAGTGGTTGTGAATGCTCAACCGTGTGGTCCATTGAAAGGAAAGTAGGCAGTGGTCACTCCTCCCGATTGGTGGTAATACATTCAAATCAGAAACATCCGATGGTGCAGGCGAAAGCAAAAGATCGAGTACGTGCGGCTTATGATCAGGGATAATGCGAGTAGGTGCCGCGACATGTTGCATTAAATTGCTTTCAAGAACAGCTTCCAGAAATGTAGAATCGAAGGAGGCAGGAGCAGCATCACAGTGAAGAAGATCCCAATCTACATTGGGGGCAATGAAGTCCCCCACTAATAAACAATCCTTATTTCTACCATGCTTCTTTAGAGAGGCCAGTAAACGATCACCGGAACTCAGGGGTTCTCTGTAGAAGACACCGAGAAGGAGAGATTTACATCCATCGTGAATACGACACCAAAGCACTTCGGAGCAGTCATCACTTCCCAAGACAATATCAACTACATGGACCTTCAGGTTTTCCTTCCAGTAGAGTATGACGCCGCCCCCGATCTCAAACCAATGCCATCAGCTCGTGACAGACTGTAACCAGGAATATGTACTTCGGGATCTGAGATTTCTGGGGACAACCATGTCTCCGTAAACGCCATAAGGTCCGGGAGAAGTACAGACGCAAGGTGCACAACTTCATCTAGTTTGTTACGCAGACTGCGCACGTTCGCAAAAAGTACGTGCGATCCACTTGTTAATCTTAATGTCCGGGAAGGACAAGAACTGCCTTCCAGCGCGTTCTCTGCACTTTCCGAACCACGCGAAAATCCTCAATACGCAAATCGGTTTCACCGTTCGCACGGCGAGTTCTCATTTCATCGACTGCAATCTTCATTTTAACGCGGTCTTCCGGGGATAGATCCCGTAACACGTGAAAGGCCTCCCCCTTGAGGCGCGAAGTTCGTCGAAGGATCCGACGGCATTCATCTTCACTTTGGCATACAACCTTAAGGGGACGCATCTTGGAAGAATCTTCATGTTTTCTGCCAAGTCGAAAAGCAGAGACGATTTTAATCCCCGGTTCCCCCTCATCGAACAGTAGGGAGACCATACGTTTTAGAAATAATTGATCATCCAAAATTCTCTCTGCTGCTGTTGTCTTATACGACTCCGGGGAGTTCATTATGATGAGACAAGGTTCCCGGTTAGGGACTTTGGCGGTCTGGGAGATCGGTGGCTTGGAAGGCGGCTTGTCATGGAGCAGTTTCTCAAAATGGTCGATCCTATGAAGAACTGATTTCAGCCCGCGCTTTGGAGGTGACGCTTTGTCTTCCACAGATTTGGCTATAGGCTTATATTTATGCACCACAGGAATCCGGCTTGCGGGAGCAATCACCGTGTTCTCCTTGACGACCGTCGCAAACGTCTTGGGCAGGCGCTTACAAGGCTGGTCACTAGAAATGGGTGACCCCGACGGCGGGGCAGAAATTTGTTTAAAAACTGGCCTGACAAAATCAGGGCACAAAGAAGGGAAAGAAGAAGGCGAATTTTGGGAAACAGTCGGTTGGGGATCGGAGTGAGCACTAGCAGAGCGGGGAGTAAAAGCAGTTAAACCTGACTGCGCCCGCTGGGTGTTGAAGAAAGTAAGACAAGAGTCACAAAAGATACCATCAGAGGATGCTGTATACATCAGAAGACACTCATAAAAATTTAGCGAGATACCACAACAAGTGATATGCAACCACCCGTTGCAGAAGGAACATTAAACAGCCTTTGAACGGGTGGTGACACCCTTACCACAATCCAGACACTTGGACACCATGATGATCGATAGACCAGCAGAAGTTTCTGAGTATTTTGCGCACCTCAAAGCCCGTCTGAATCACAAAAAAGGACAAAATCAACTTGTCAGAACGAAAACACACGGGTAGTGACTAATTGTAAGGTTATGCGTAAGTCTTGACCTTAGTCGCTTCGCTCTGGTCAAAAAACGCAGGCATCTCTGTAGATGTGGTGTATGGTGCTCGACTACCCTTACTTGTTGGGGTAGCTGCGCCGGCAGCACATGAGATAATGCAAGGTGTTGGTATCGAGACTGCAGCGATGTTTATCTCAGCTTGAGCAGGAGAGGCAAGCGGAATGAGGGCATGCAGTTCGTCAAGATACCGTCCGTTGCTTATCGCAGCGCGACACAGATTGCAAATGAAACATAAGCCTGGATCGTTGGATCGCAGGAGAAATTCGTACTACCCATGGCCGACTCCACAGCAAGCTATGTGGGACCACCCATTGCAGATGGTGCACCGCAAGGCTTTATTGCGCGATATAACGCCTTTAAACCATGACAAGCATTTAATTGTCATAGCAGATGTAGGCAAAACAGTAAACAGATGAGTCTCCAAAACGATTTTGATTCGCCTCCTTTCGATCGAAATACTGCAATAAAACAGACCCCCTCAACAGGACGGCGCTAGACGCAGAGATGGTGTACCACCTCTACAATATTTCTGTTTAAATTTACTATGAATGTAGTTCTACTCTATCAAGCACTTTATTATTGTTTATTATATGCACAGTTATACCGTTGAATGCAGATCGCCAAAATCCGTTCCTTTCGAATGCGAGCACCCAGTATCCGTTGAAGTCCCAACTGAACTTAAAGTTACCGCCGACGTACGTGCCACCATATGCTGGATTAAAAAATCCAAAAATAAATTTCCTTTTGTAATGCACATTGTGAATTAATATACCTACTTACCATTTCATACGGCTTGACTTATTTAACACAAATTAATACCAGGTGTAATCCGGATCCACTCAACTTCCGTAGTCAGCATTGATCGATAACGGCCGTAAGACAGCTGACGACGACGACGATTAGTTCGGCCTTTACTTGCCTGACCTACATGTGCTGTGATGTGAGTTTCTTGAAACTTTTATAAAGATAATTTTAGGCCCAAATCCTATCGACACGAAGTGTTTGATGAACGGTATGCTTACGTTCCGTCTGTTATCTTGCTTTCACCATAGAGTTCCTAGCCGTCGTTACAACTACCCCGATGAACCATACATTATCTACGATTCAGAAGATGTTGTTGAACACAAGTATAAAGGTGAACATCGAAATCATCAGGTTTACGATACTGAACACGTCAACTCCCGCCATCTTGACCGCAAGAGAAAGCATGATGATTTGTGGGTACCTGAGGATATACTTGATGTGGACGACATTCGAAGGTACAAGTTTGTTTTCTTTTCACCTTTTGTGTAGGAAGAAGAAACACAAAAAGCACTCCCGTAGTCACAGTAAAGATAAGAAAAGTCACCGCTCGAAACACCGCAGTTCTGAATGTGCTGACATCGAGGCTTTCAAGTTCAAGTCTAGCCTACTTTCTGAACTCTCAAAAAAGCCGAACTTTAAAGAAAAAATTATGCAAAGCTCAAAACCAGTTGATAAAACTGATCACACCGTGTGTGACACCTACCCACTTGACGAAGTTCCCCTTCCACCAACCAACGATGTGAAGCCAGTCGTGCCGCCTCAGGTTACTGATCCCTGCATCCCTTTGGAAGAAATATCGTTGCCTCCTGAACCTGAAGTGGCGAAGGAAGATAGCTGCAGTGCATCTCATAAACATGCTGTTTCCCCTGTTAAACAGGCAGTTGCCGTGGAACAAATCGATGAAGTGGCAATGCAGACATCTGCCTCCGAGCTTCCCGCCCAGTTACCTTCAAGCTCGACAATTGACAGGTATTTATACTATCTTTTATCTACTTTACAAGTTGCTCCATTAATCGTAAACCCTCCATTGCAGATTTACCTCTACCGCCTGGATTCGACACGTCCAGTCTGAACGTCTTCATGCCGAACGCTACACCGAAAAGCGTCGGTCATTCAACGCCCTCTTCGAAACGGACCACTAAATCCGAAATAAGACAAAGACCAAAGTAAGATCTTTTGACGTAAAGTTGAGCTAAATGTCACTTGCGTGTCGCGTACGAGATTTATGTCTGATTCACATCTGCACACGCTCGTCTATGTATCTTCTGATTCATTCGTTCCCCATGACTTCGGGAAGTTTGTAACGCAATGCGTCACAATTTCGATATTCGCCATGCGTTCGGAATATTGGGGTACATGTGCTTTCCAGTGATTTAGCTGTTTTCGTGACACGGTGTTACGACAGACATGGGAGATTGCTCCCATCCAGAACTCACGTCCGTACGTGTCATCTCTCTGCGCATAAGTGACGGTAGAATTTCCACTTACTGTTTACATGGGCCCTGATTTTCCGTTTTCTTTATTTCTCCTCGGTTTTGACCTTATCTCTGACTTTAACCTCGATTTTCCTGAGACAAAGACATACAGTAACGACGCCTCGCTGCCACACAATCACTGCCAGTCGCTCGTGGGCTAAGGATACTACGAGGGTGGCCCAGTCTTTTACACAGGCTCGAACTCGCGACCTCAGATTACAATGCGGGCTTGTGATTCTTAAGGCCACTTGCCGGCATTTTCCCACGAATCACCATAAGTCAAATTGCAACAGTAGTTTTTTCCGTTATTCATGGGAACTGTGGTTAGAGAGTTGACGGGACTGCTATTGCTTCTTCTAGAAACTAGAGTTGTCCGTTTGCAGCCAACTGACGCGTTAACTTGAAACCGTCAACATCCAACCAGCAAACGTCTTTTTCTCTAGCTCTTATACCCGAAAGTCTGAACACAGATTCTATGTACTCGTCTTCAATCTATTCACTGAAGTTATTGCGGTTTGGGGGATATTGAAGAAAACGGCTTAGAAAAAACAGCAAACACGTGTTTACGCATGAAGACCGCCGACTTTTTGGTTGCGCGACACTCTACGTTTCCTGGGCGATCATGATTTTGTTGGCCAGAGTGATGAGCACCAACACGGTACACTGCCCGACCAATGTATGCGTTCGTCGCCATGTCAAACATCACGGGGTGTAACGAATCGGCTACCTTTTTGACACACTGGTTGCATTTAGGTTTTCGGTCAGCCCTCACGTGATGCATGACACACGTAATTTCTCTAGGAACTTGACCCAAATGAACCATATCAGCCATGGATAGCGCATATCACTCCAAGATTGTCTTCCAGTTTGAAACACCTGCCTAGATTCCGATCATACTCCAGTGCGCACAAGCCTGGCGCTCACTTCCAACTTGAAAAGAGCGCATAACTTCATAGCTTCTAACGAACTCAGTTTGCAGTTCATAACGAACTGGTATACTAATTGTCAGTGACGAGTGATAATGCTGATCCGGACGCTGACTGGAATCGTCTCAAGTGTGTCATGAAAAATGCTTTTGATCCATGCTGAACGCCCAACTTATGACATCCTAACTGAATTCATCTCTGATACATCGATCAGTTTGATCGAAACATGCCAACAGCTTCCGTTGGTCTTTGGGTTTCAACATTTTTGTAACGCCTCGAAACGATGACTGGGAATGGGTTTTATAATTGACCGGGGACGCTGATGGCCAGCAGTGTCCTTTGCGATGCAGAAAGCCATTGCTATAATGAATAACCAAGTGTTGTTCCAGCCCATTCGGAACTCGAGTCCATGGTAGCCTTTAGTTAGCGGGACAATAGCTGAGAAAAGGACAGTTCGTCCATCTCCACTCGCATCGACTAACTCGTTGGGCGGAGCATTTTGAGGCCTATTGCGATACTGCTGTTTACTGAATCACCTAAGCCGATATGAAAGTTGATATCCTACTTCACATTTTGCAAGGGGTTAGGAATCAGCTTGCCTTGTTGCAACGAAACAAGGCTCTTGGACCAGACCACCTTCTCTCATCTTGGGTAAAAGTTGTAGGTGACCTTGTTGACTGAATTTACTGTCCTATTCAACACGATTTGGAACTCTGAACAAGTGCCTTCAGATTATCGACTGTTGGGCTTCCATACAAAAATGACCAGCGAACTTTGTGTGGGAATCCTCGAGGCATTAGCTTTATTTCCCTTGTCTCTACCTCACTAGTGTCATACTTCCATGACCTACTGACCTTCGCGGAACTGAATCACTGAAAGCAGGCTGGCTTCCTCTCTGTTCATGATTGCATCGACCACATATTTACCTTTCGTCAACTGTTGCAGTGGAGGCAACTTACAGCCGAACGACCATGGTGGTTTTCTTTGGTCTGAAAACCTCCCTTTACTCTGTTGATCGAGGCAGTTTGTGGCACTGCCTATCTGGGAGGGGCTTGTCTCGAGTTTTTTTGTTCTATATTCACTACTGTGACTCCCGAAGCCAGATAAGGGTCCACGGAAAGCTTTCTCCTGAGCTCCCCACGACAAGTAGGGTTCGAAATTGTTGTCCTATATCTCATTCCCTCTTCAGCTTTGTAATCGAAATCATGAACGACTCGATTCTTTCAGACTACCGAGGTGGAAGTTCTCTCAGGCGACCGACTGACACCTTGAGTATGTGGACGACAACGCTCTGGGTCTGACGCGGCGGCTATGCAAACACTACTGGCTAGACTGATGCATAGCACTGCACACTTCGGCGCGTGCTTTGCATTACGAAGTCGTACAGCTGACACCTTATTTATTTATTATTAACTTATTGTTGCAGGACTGGACCAGTACTTGTTATCCCCGAACAGCCACTAGAAGTGGTAAGTCGGTACCCTTGCCTTGGTAGCTGTGTCACCGCTGATGGTCACCTCACTGGGGAAGGTGCGTCGCATATCAGTGAGGTCCGTTTGGATTTTCAGTAACGCATCTGTCTATGAAGATGGCGGGATGTCGGCCTGTTAGTGAAAGGTAGGGTGTATAACCCTTCGGTAAGACCGATCTTACTGGATGGATCAGAAACCTGACCAGTTCGCTGCGAAGACACTAAACACTTGGCCGTGTTTGACCACTGATGCTTGCGGCGTATTGCTCACGTCTGGTGGGAACACCGGATGATCAATACTGAGATCTGGCATTAGGTTTTTGACAAGAAGCGTTCTGGTGCCCCTCTCGAGTGTTTGTTGCATCTTAGTCGCTTACATTGGCTCGGCCATGTGTTCCGTATGTCCGTTGACCGTCTTCCTCGTGATTGCACCAAGTTGGGCGAAACCGCGAAGTCGCTAGTCAATGACGTGGCCAAAGGGCATGAAGAAACCAACTGAAAGACATGATCGGGCTGGCGCATGCCATCTTCTTGCATGGTGGTCTAAGGATCGTCCACACCAGTGGTTGGAGACCCTATCAGACATAGCGCAATCATGCAGCCAGTGGTATTCCCGCATTCCTTTTCCCACATCTGGCAATTTCCTTCCCATCCTGATAAGTTTAGCGCACTTCCTTGCCATCATTTTTATTATACTCTGCGTTCTACCTCGTTTTCTTACCGGTATTTTTTCTTGCTATTCTGGCGTGCGTCATGGCAATTGGATCTGGATCATGGATTGACGCTCGTTATGGAGTACCTGTATCGACTTTTCATGTATTATTGCGCCGTCATTCTCCCATCAACTTTACTGGGAGGCGTGCAAAGCGCCTCCTTCGGTTAACAACCGAAAATCTCTCGGTTCGGCAAGCTTACCAGGATGTCCTGCGTACCGAGTTTTCACTCCGTCTTAATAGCACCAAGCTTCAGTGGAATAGGATCTCGACCGCCATGCACGATGCGGGAGCCTCTGCCTGCAGTATTGTCAATCGTCACTGCACCATTCACTGGATATCTGAGAGCTCGGTGAATTCGTTATAATCCAGAAGCAAACTCCCAGCTGGCTCTGAGCACAATATAAGCAGACAGACTATTAGGCGCGTACTAAGGCTGATCCTGCGTGCTGACAATCGAGCCTGCTGAACTGGTATGCATCAAGAAATGGAGGACGTTATATCAGCAGGCAATTATTGCAAGCTCTTCCACCTGATCCACAACGCCGGTTTCAAAAAACTAGACGTCAGCGAAACAAACAGAGGCAGCGCAAGTGCCATGGTTCCCAATAACGAACGCCGTATGGCCCGTTAGACGGAGCACTTTCAAAATCACTTCGTTTGGCCTCTTGCACCTGTACCTATTCCTACTCAGATGGTTCAGGCTGAGCTATGAGCGGTTAATTTAGAGGCTCGGTCGGAGGCTTAGGTCCTAAACGCGATTGTAACCCTCAATCGTGGCGCTGCCGACCCGGATTCTCTCCCACCTGCACTATTTGAGGATGTTGGTGCAGTCCTCTGCAAAGCACTGACCTCCCTGTTCGAACATATCTGGAAGGATGAGAGCATCCCAGGTAACGAGTGAATCGATTATAGTGACAGTTTACAAGTAGGGCAGTTACAGACTGCTCATCCCAGCCAAACGTGGCTGTATAGGCCACATATACACTGCAGCAGTTGCTAGATCCACGTACCGCAATCCGACAAAGTTGTATACCTGGAGTGCGTTGAACTCGCTTGACAGATGCATTGTGTTCGGAATATTTGTGCGTAAAGGTGTTCCCATGAGATACTTGAACACTTTTCGTGCCCTGTTTATTGTTGACGGTATTTGCAGCTAGAAAAATGCATTCGCAGCATATGTTGAAGGCACATTAGGTAGGTAGGTCCGTCGCAGCGAGACTGCACCTTAACGTGGTACGACGGTTTGCGTACCTCTTTGACCCATTGAGCTATACTGGGTGGTGCCTCCGGGCACTTTGAGAGCTACTCCTACCGGGTTGGTCAATGGTTAGACGTCAGACAAACTGTCTCCTGATCCTCCAGGTTGGGGGTTTGAAATGGGATGTCGTCCATTTCCGCAAAACTAAATCATTGCCACCTCCCCTCTGCCTTGCGGACAGGTTTTTGAGCCAAAGGCTTTGGATGAGGACCCTAATCGTCCTCTTGTCTAGGTCTGGGCGCCCTGGCAGTATCTCAGCTCACATACAACCATGACTTTTTCTTCAAACATAAACTTCATTCTGCGTCGGCCGTCGCACA